GTGCTAGGCAGTACTCTAAGCACTATATTAATATCTTTAATCCTCACGGCAACCATATGAGGGAGGTACTGTTATTCTCACCCCCACTTTACAGATGAGGAGACAGGCCCAGAGAAGCTGAGTGTCCTGCCCAAGGCTGTACAGCTGATAAGTGGTATGGAGCCAGGATTTGAACACAGGCAAGCCCAGCTTTACAGCTGGTGTACTTTGTTATGAAACCCACAGCCTCAGGGACAATTGACTCACTCTCTGTGAGAGAGCAGATCCCCAGGAAAAGCAAACACAAGAGACTGGTCTCCAGGAAGAGACAGAGGCAGGCTTTCTAGGTCCCAGAATAAACCTACTCTGTGCTAAGACTCAGTCATTTCTAGAGGAAATGAGATTCCTGAAGGAATGCCCAGGATGGGAAGCAGGCACGAGTTATTGGACAGGAGCAGAGAAAGCCACCACGTGACAAGACACCTGGATACCTCTCCATATACTCTCTTCCTTTCATCTGAACACAGCTACACCTAAAGTCTACACTTCCCAGTCTCCCGTGCAGCTGGGTTCCTGCCAGTGGGATGGGGCAGGATCATGTGTGTAACCTCCAGATTCTGCCACAAAAGAAAAGGGGCACTTTCTCTTCCTTCTCCCTTACTGGTTGGAAAGCAGGCTTGGTGAGAGCCATCTTAGACTATGAAGGCAAGCTAACCTCCAATGGATGGTGGAGCCCCAGGTAGACAGAGCCTGGGTCCTAACCCCATTGAGCTTCCTACTGACCCTGGAATGCTTACTCCCAGACTGTCACTCAAAAGAGAAGTAAAATTCCATCTCGTTTAAGCCACTGTATTTTGGGGGCTCTTTACAGCAACTAGATCAATATGTTAGCAACAGACCCCAGTTCCCTCCTGTATTACTTACCATGCTCTGCAGCTGCTCTGGTGGGCTGCTCTGGAGTGGGGCTGGGGGTGATATGGGAGCTGGTGGGGCAGGAGCAGGGGGTCCTGCCCTGGCCTCAGATCCCTCAGTGATGGAGGACAGCTCTGGCTCAGGTCCCCCAGACCCTGGCCCACCGTGACGATGAAAGAGGCGGCTGATAATCTGCTGGTACTGCTTCTTGTGGGTGGGGGGCAGGGCCACGGCAGGGCTTTGCTCCATGGACCCCCTGCGTTTGAGGGGTCGAGGAATCTCCGCCAGCACCCGTGCCACCTCCTCCAGCTCAGGCACCGACTGTGCCTCAGGTGGCAATGCTGGCTGCAGCCTTGTGGGGCTGAGGGGCCGAGTTACAGTGCCTTCATCCGCATCACCAGCCTCCAACACTGGTGTCAGCAGCACCTCTAGCTCTGGCTCAGGCTCCAGCTCAACTGGGGTTTTGGGGAAGCCTGGTAGGAACGAGAGCCCCGTCAGAGGACAGGTCCCCAGGAGACTCCTCCAATTCTCTCTCCCCACAGCTTCCAAGACCTGCAGCCAGCACCTGATTTGCTATGCGACCTCAAGGCATTCCTTGCCCTCTCTAGTCTATACTCTTCCTGGGCTGTGAATAGTATACAATTATGACAACTCTCATTTTTGAGCACGTAGCATGTGCCTGGCACTTTACGTCTGCTTTATTGAATTCTCGCCACTACCTTGTGAGGTAGATAGGCTATCATCTCCATATTACGAAAAGGGAATATGAGTCTCAAAGAGGTCAATTCAGTTGTGCAAAGCCACACAGTTGGGATCTGAACTCACTTCTGTCTGACTCCAGACTGTACTCCTACCAACCATGATAGATTTGACTTCCTAAGATCCTAATAATTTCCCCTCCTAACATCTCAGGCAGAAAACTCCTGAAAGTAGAATCCTAGAGTTTAATGATCTCTTTTCTGTCTTATTTCCCTCTAGCAGTGCTTCTAATAGGTGGAAATAATAATAACCACTGCCTATACATTATGTCATTGAATCTCCATCACAATCCTGTAAGGTAGCTATTATTAATCTCTCTTCACAGATGGGGAAACAGAGGCTCAGACAGGTTAAGCTTATCCTGAGTCACACAGCAAGTCAGTGGTGGAAAGAGGCTCAAGCCCACTCTACTTAACTCCACTGATCTCGCACCAAAAAATATTAATAATTATTAGAACCAATATGATACCTATTGAGGGCTTACTATGTCATCAGACCTCATTTTAAAGACTTCATAAGGATTTAATACCATATCTCAATTAGATAGGTTCTATCGCTATTCACCTTTTACACTCAAAGAAATTGAGGCCCAGAGAGGTTAAGTGACTTGTCTGAGATCACACAGTGTGGAACCAGGCAGTCTAGCTCCAGGGTCTGTGATTAACCACTGTACTATCCCTGGCTCCTGAGCAAATTTTCAAGCTCATCTGGCCTAGCTCTCTGTAGGGAGTGTCTGAAAAGAAGTATTTGGCTGTGATGGCTCCTGCAGCTGGTCTGGTCCCCTGCCTTTTGTCCTCCCTGCACCCAGCCCTCTGGGGCCCCCACTGCTGACTCACCTTCGTTCATAAGGGGCCATGTCTGTTGGGGAGGCTGAGAGGCCGGGGTAGGGGTTTGGGGCTGGGGCTGAGGCTGGGGCTGGGGCTGGGGCTGGGGGGGG